TTTAAAGGGTAGGTAAAAAACGTAAAAAACGTAAAGGTGGTAAACGTTTAACCTTACTAGTACGTTACCTAAACCCAACCTACTCGTCGACGAATACTCCTCTCTCTCTCTCTCTCTCTCTCTCCCCTCCCCCCAAAAAAACTTTTTGTTAAGAACTCATGAATGCACTTATCTATAGGAAATGATAATTAAGTAAATCAAATAATTGCAGGCAACATTTTCCGTAGGACAATAAAACTCTCCAAAGTAAGTTTAGGTTAGACCTTTATTTGTCAAGAAAAAATGCCCAAATCCTAGTGTAGGTCAAGAAATCTGCATATATTTTGGCAGTTTCAGTGTAGGCTACTTCTAACATCGAGCCATCAGCCATGCCTGTTTCTGGGGGAGCTTCATTGCCAGTACCAAACTGCTTCATACCTAGACTGTTTTTGAATTTAATAACAGTGGGTTTAATTGTGCTTAGTAATAATAAAATTTAAAATAGAATTTTACTAATGTTGTATTTATTTTTAAGAATTTTTTTTTTCTGAACAAGAGTTATCCATGAGAACAGCAAACATCATGTTCACAATATTTGCCAAGAAAATTCAAATACAACATACAGTAACATTAAAAGGTAAAAAACCCCTACTTCTCTCTCCTCTTTCCCCTGTTTCTCTCTCTAAGGGCCCTCATTAGTGAGAGAGATCAGAGAGTATAGAGACTAGCCATGCATAAATGTGATATGGGTGGTGTTTTAGAGAGAAGGAGAAACTTTGTAGTTGTGGTATGGGTGGTGATCTAGAAAGAGAAGAATATATTAGGGTCGTCAATGGCTAGAAAACCAAACCCACAGGGGGTGGCGATCTAGATAGAGAAAGGGGAGAAGGCGTTCTAGAGAGAGAAAAGGATTGGTGTTCTTGAGAAAGAAAGGACGAAGAGGAAGAATAAGCTCGTTTAGAGAGAGAGAGGAAAGCAGAGCAAGAGAAAGACATGGTGGGTGGAGCTCAAGAGAGAGAAAGCGGTCCAGAAACCAAATCCATGGAGTTTTCTCGAGCAATTCACCATCTCCCTACGCTCGTATAAAAGCAAAATCAGCAAAGAGACTCAAATTGGGTTGTCAGATGAGGGTGTCCATGTCCCCACCTGCCCCTGATTCACCACATTCTCTCTCTCTCTCTTCTCTCTAAAACCCCATCTGCAACCAGCCACCCTCGCAGTCTTTCTCTCTCTAGAATCCACGCGCAACCGGTTCTCTTTTATCTCTCAACGAATTTTTTTTAGATTCCTTCAGGGACTACAGTCATTATCTGTCTCTATACTAATTCTTAGTATCCTCCAGAACTAAAGTTGCAGGTCTCTCTAAACCAAAAAGTTGCAGGTTTCTCTCTCCAAGGCCACAGCTTTCTTCATCTTCTCTCTCTTTGTAAAACACCCTGTGCCCTCTCAAGATGGCACCATGGGGGAGATCTGGATATGAAGGAGAGAGAGGGAGAGACAGCGAGAGTGGAGGGAGAGATGCCGGGCCCCACGCACAAATTTTCGGGCCCATTCAGGGCTGGAATTTAACCGACTTGATGGAAATCGAGTCCAGCCCGATGAGCAGTCGTGACTCAAACTAGTAAGCAATTAATAGAAAACTTTTTAATAAGACGATACTGAAACCACAAAAATAAGACAATGATCCTA